CAATGGCTTCCTGGGCTCTGATTTTGGAAAACGTAGTATGGGCTCTGCCATTGCAACTACCATTCTTAGTCTGAGGCTTAACCTCAGATTCTTTACCTGTTTCTACAATATGAGGACTGTCTGAAGATCTTAGACCTGGCTTCGGCAAAAGAACTTTTGACTGAATCATGCAAAAGTCTGTTGTGAGTTTTAGTACACCCACTGATACCACATTGTGTGATGAAATTACACTTTGCCCCAAGATGCGTGTAACCAAGACACCGAAAACAGACATTGTGCTTTTTAGCATTGTCCCATCTATCAGACACACACATGTTCATGAACTCTCTACACCTCCACAACTCATGATCATCTCCACAGACTTTACATGAAGTACCGGTATTTCTTTTAAAGGGAGTGCTTTGATGCAACTGGTTCGTGACAAATGTTCAAGGACCTTTACCTTTGTAAACTGTTGTTTTACCTTTTTGTGCTATGCCATTTACAGATTCAGACGCTATGGTCTGATACTCAGACTCTTTAGTATCCATTCTCTCAGAGATTCTGCACTTTCTTGGCGTTCACTGTCGTGAAGCCACCTTTGATATTGCACTATCATTGTTTCAGTCATTTTCTTGAGCAGAATGTTGTATAGTAATCAATTGCCTAATTCCTCGAACCTATCAGCTTCTCCCAGGTTAGCAACTGCTATGTCCAACACATCTTCAAATTTCTCGAGGTCCTTCGCACAGCCTTGGCAAATAGGTTTGAAATTATTTAGTGTTTCTAACTGTAAGGAAATCTGTCTTCTCCTTCCTCTAAACTTTCGTTCCAAACGCTCTAAAGCCATACCATAGGCCATTGCGCTATGCCCTAACCCTTGAATAACTTTCAAAGCGCTGCCTGATAAGTATTGCTGTAATTGCAGAAGTTTATACTCTGCAGAACCTGGGGAAGGATCGATACATGTGACAAATGCAGCTTTCATACATTTTGACGTCACCAGAGAAAACTGAAATCGACACCTGTTTAAGCTGCTTCCACATATCCTTTCTTATTGCTTGACTATGTTTACTCATAACATAACTTGGCATTTCACCACAAGTTGGTTGTGTAGGCAATTTGGTTGTTTGAGGTTCATGAGGGGATTCTACAGAAACTTTACTTTTGACCTCTTTGGTCCTGTCATAAAACAGCCTATCAATTGTGTAAAATGGCCTTGATGTAACATCAGATCTGACCTTTGATCTAGGTGCCTTTGTGCTGTGTTTATAACTTCAGCAGTTTCAGTTTCATTACAACTGATTTCAGTTTCAGTTTGTACTACTTTCTCACACTGTTTATCACCAGCACAAGCCACTGTAAGCTTTACCATGACAGCTATTGCCTTGGCTTGAAGAGAATTTATCTTGTCTTTTCCTTCTCTAACAGTTCTCTGCGAAGGTAAATCCTCAGCCTCTATCAAATTATACAGCTTATTCTTAGCTTTTGTAAAAGCTGTCTTGGCATTTGCTATCTGTTGTTTTTGAATGTCAAGATTTGCTCTATCAAAGATCATTCTTTGTATATTACATTAGGCTTCTGTTCTGAGACCTTAAATCTTTGACTCTCTTCAATACTATCACTTTTTTTTTCAGCCATACTGTCTGTGAATGCTAATAGACAAAGAGTTGCATATCTACTTACCTTAGACTGATACACTGTCAACGAATGAACAGGATAAGGTATTAACCATGCTCTGCTACCAATGATATGAAGGAATATCCAAAATATTGAACGAAAAAACAACAAGGAAAATTCAGCCCATTTACACTGAACAACAAAAGTTCCTGTGACATTGAATAAGATTTAATGCAAAGTTATGTTTTTTGCCAAATCTGAAATAATTTCGGTTTGCAACAGATAAAAGACTCCTGTAAGTGTTCAAATGGTTTAATTTGCCATACTGCCTTCAGAAATGCATGATTTCATAAAAAAACATGAACATGCCAAAATGTCAATTTACAAATCAATAGCGTGTGTGTCCACCTCTGGTTGCGATGCAAGCAACACAACTTCATCTCATAGAATGGACCAGGCGTCGCACAAAGTCCTGTGGGATATATGTCCATATCTGCTGGAGCATGTTTCGAAGTTACTTGAGTGTCTGTGGAACACATGGTTGACTTCAAAAGGCGCCGATCCATCTCATACCACATGTGCTCGATTGGTGAGAGATCAGGGGAGTGAGCTGGCCAGGGGACATTCACACTGTTTTGTTGAAGAGAATCCTGAACAAATCGAGCAATATGAGGCCGGGCATTGTCATGTTGAAAGGTAATGGCTGGGCCATGACGACGCAAAAACAGTAGTATGCCCAGTGTCCATTACCAATTACTTAGCTATGATAAGTTAAGTATTGGCTTCCATTGTCTATTGCTTATCACCTTATCAGCGCCAATCATCTGTTGGCTTTCTTTGTTAGCTTGTATCCTTTGTTAGTTTCCACCTTTTGTTATCTTATTAATTTTGTTGTCCTTACACCTGATGAAGGAGCAAGCATATACTCCGAAACGTTGTGTTCCTCATAATAAAGAAGTTGACATCCATATATTCTCTTCCCTTTTGATTCCATACATGTACTACAATATTGAAAACCAAACTTTACTTGTATGAAAATACACTAAAATATTGGTGTCACAGGAACTTTTGTTGTTGAGTATATTTACCCCAAACTTTGTGTAAATAACACAAACTGCTGTTCCATTACCTTTCACATGTGCAGGTTACACAATGAACTGCAAACAATGCTTACATTCAGATATGGTACAATATAATATAAGGTGTACTCTTGTTGTGAGAGTATCCCACAACACCTCTTTATTGTCCAAACTCACTTATCTAACTCTCAGAAACTCCCATGTCCCAATCATTAACAAGGTCTTCACGGAAAGCATGTGCTTCCCGCGAAGCAGGGTGTTTGTTACACTTGGCTCCTGGACAAGGTAACTCTGCAAAGTAGGGTGTTTTTTTTACAAAACCCTCCCGATCATACCAGGTTGCATGAATGTTCTGGCAGACGTTCTGTCCAGGCTGGACAAGGTGGCTCCCACTGAGTGGCAGCTCCACCCAGATCGACTCCCTCAACATCCCAAAACTGCCAGCTTTAAACCTACATCTCACTGGTGCTTGATCCGTCAGCAGTTGCAGTCGACACGATTAAGCATGTATTCTTTTCCGCCTCTGGTTCTCCTTCCCAGGGTTCTTCATAAGATCCAGGATACTTGGAACCTGACACTGATTTTGGTCGCGCCCTGAGGGCTGGCGAAAAGCAGGTTTGTTGACCTCTGAGACCTCGCCTAGACCCCCTAGAACTTCTAGTGTAGCACAACCTTCTGTTACACCCATTCAGCAGATAGCCACAACCGAACCCTGCCAGGTATCATCTGCATGCCTGGTACATCTGCAGAAATCCCTAGGAGCCAAGGGCTACTTGGCTAGAGCAGCCAAGACTATTGTTTAAGCCCATTGTCCGTCTTCACGGGTACTGTATGTAGACAAGTGGTGCTGTTTCCAGTCCTTCTGTGCAAAGACCAGGATCTGATGACAGCGTCACCCCAGTTGGTTGAAAGGCTCTACCATCCCTACCTACCTGGGTGCCATTAACTGATGAAAAATACACAAACTCCAGGCCTTGCCGTGCTTATTTCATCTTGAAGACCAGAAAGCCAAGTTCAGATCTGAACGTGGTATTACACCCTCTTGGGACAGCTCCCTTTGAACCACTCCACTCGTCTTCCTTCTATGACCTTACCAATAAGATCATGTTCCTGCTGGCTTTGGCTATGGCAGCACGGGTCAGTGAGCCACACACCCTCGTCTCCTGCATCTAGTATGAACGCAGTACCCATGTCACCATTCATCATTGCCAAGAATCAACTCCCAGGACATCCTGACAGATTGTTCACCATCCCTTCCCTTCTCATCTATCATGGGTGCTAATGATGAGGCGTAACTTCTGTTATGCCCTGTGTGGGCATTGAGGGTTTTCCTGCGATGATCGAAAGCCTTGCCCAAGTCTAGGAAATGCCTTTTCCTGCCGGTCTCCTCTTCGTCGCAGACAGAGGTCAGCCGGAATACTATTTCCTGAGCGGTCATCCTACAAGCATATAAAGCTCTTCATAGTAACTGCTCCATCAAATCGGTCATGGAAGGCTGCTTTTGTTGATCCAACATCATCTTCGTCAGCCACTACCTCCGTGATGTAGCCTTGGAAGAAGTCGCTGGTGACCACAGCTTTGTTCCCTTGGTGGTAGCCCAGCTAGTCACCAATCCCCGATGCCACTGAATCTCCGATATCCCGAACGGGGCCTGTCAAACTCTACGGTGTTTATCACCCCAGATTAGTGGGCTCTACTGTGTTCCGCATTCGCTCTTAGGTCAGTTTTCGTTTTTGGTTACCTGCCTCATTCTATTTCTGCACCAATTAGGGGGTTTTCTGTTCCATCAACTCCAGTTTCCTTCTGACAGGAATGGTCATGGATTTTCTGGTCATCACTTGTATGCTGTGAGGGTTCATCTGACCTTGACGAGGGTTTATTATGGATCACATATGAAGGTATGCCCACCTGATGAACCGTCAGATAAAGATGCATTAAGGAGTAATGAAGGATAAGTTAAAACATTTAGTAAAATCTAAATATGTTTTACATTTGTATACTTATCCTGCATTACTACGTCTAAGTGCCCTCCCTTTACTGCAATACCTCCTCACGAAGTTCAGATGTTATGTTTGCAGCAGTAATGTGACGTCATCGCTTCCTGGTCACGTGCCGACTGTGTGAGGGTGCTGCCAGTAACTGGTTGGAACAACTTTTCTTTAACAGCTGGATCCCACACAGTACATCTTTCTGTCAGAATACAGCAGTAAATGCATTAAGGAGTACTGCAGGATGAGTATACAAATGTAAAAAATATTTAGATATTACTAAATTTGTAGGCATCAGTCTTTCTGTTTTAACATATTTCTATGTCTTTTTCAGATGGTACGAGGAAAGTTTGATCCTGCAAGCAAGGTTCTTGAAGTAATCATTTATGCCAAGGAAACAGTCCTGATGAAACCACAGTTTCCTAGTGAAAATATTCGCCCAAATAAGATTACCAGAGCTACAACAGTACTTATGGGTCACTTCTATGGCTTTGAACCAGATTTCAGTGAGTACAGCATGAAACTGAAAAACTGATACAACACACTAACGGTTATGACAACCTGTTTGTAAAGAAGCAAATGCTTTACTTAAATAAGAGAAAACCCACTATATTTTGAAATTTGAGCTCATCGATCTGTAGATTTAATACCTATGATGTTTTTTTAGGAATGAAGCTCTTTAGCATTAGGTATTTAAATTAAAATAAGAAGTATCAAATCCACAGTGACAAGATCTCAAATTCCAAACACAGTAGGTTTATTTTCATTATATCATGGCAGCAAGAATGATTTAAAATGGTAGCCTTTTGGAATTAGTGATTACACATCAGTACATAGGTCAGTGATCTTAGAACATTCTGAAAATGGGTCATGTGTTGTGATAAATGTAACAAATATACTCTCCAAAAAAGTAGGAGATCATGAAATGTAAATGTTAGCATTGGTCATCAGAAAAAAGAACAGCTTTGAAAAATGGCTTCCCATAAGAAGAATGGTTTCGGAAAAACCTAACGTCCTAACACACACACGAATCATTGCTTGTGGACCATGCAAATGGCACAGCCAGTATATTGTGTTGGTAGTCCTGTCCAGTGACCCTTCCCTGGACATTATACAGTGGTGTTCTGGCAGTCATAATGATCCGGCCCCATACCATTTCAGACCCACCTCCAAATCTGTCATATTGCCTTTCCGTTCAAGTTCGCATGACGTTTATCAGGATGCCTTCAGGCATGTCCACACCTATCCAGAAAGTCCAGAGTGAATCTGATCTGACTCATCTGATAAACATTACATGAGACCATCAGTGATTTCCCCCAGTTTCCATGCTCCAAACACCATTGGCATCTGGCTAGAATGTGTCGATGGTGTTAACAGTGGTACAACAAGTGGTTGCTGAGCATGTAGATTACTTGCGTGCATACAATTTCTGATTATCTGTTCAGTCACTTGAACTCCAGTGGCCTGGCACAAGGGAACAGCTATTGATTGGCTGTTTGGGCTCGATTTTTTTAAAGCCAGGTTTCTGATTAATCTATTCTTGACTTGGGTGTTCTTAACCTGGGGCATCCCTGTTCGGGGATGATCATTAACATATTTGTGTGTACAGAACCTTGTACACAAAGCCTCCAAAGCAAATCACAGCTTGAGACACATTGAACATACTGGCTACCTCTCACTGAGTTTTATCAGTTTGAAGCATGTCCTTAGCCCTTAGCCCTTAGCCCTTAGCCCTTAGCCATCATGTTGTAGATGTTCTAGACACATTCCCCATTGGATCACAAATACTGCATTAAAGAGTAGAGCTTATGTGTTACTGTGGATAAAGTGGAGGCGGGATATTACCGATGGTGTGGCATTAACCGATGGATTTATAAATCCCATCTCAAACACGTTAAACATACACATTTACCATCATAAATGCGAATGTCAATAGTTAGTATACTTCCTCTTCCGGAATGAACCTTCGATTGCCAAAAAGTATGTCCTATCAATCCATAACAATCGATGTGCGACACGATCTCCTTGATCTCTAACCCACAAAGTGACATCAATATTCATGACCTACATTGCCCATAAGCCAATCATATCTTGCTTATGTTGGGTTTCCACCAGATGTTTATAGACAAGTCAACCGCGGACTCGATGATGTATTTCTGTCCCTCAATGCAGTCGTCCCGCCACATTGGCAGCCATTATAGTCTGTACCGGTAAAGGCCTCCACTTGAAACGTGAGTGCGGCATTTATCAATAACTCAACCACCAACAGTCCTAGCTGTATGTGCAAATATTAGTGAATTGAAACAACTGATACTTATGTTTCCTTTATTTGAAATTAACACATATGATTTATACATAATATATACAAAATTTGCATTAAATAAAATAGAATGTGTTCTCTCGATTTACAATTAGATGAAATTATTCACATACCTAAAGTAAAGCGCTAATGTGAATAAATTTAGAAACACAAAATAGAATATATAATAGATCTAGTATTGATATATTGATATATATTTATATATGTATACTGAACCGCAAAAGAAACCACACCCCAAGTAACATTGCATGAAAAGTTGTCATTTAAATATCTGGGTAATATTGGTCAAAGTTTCTAAAATTTAACATTAGCTTGCCCGGAATAATGAAATTTGATGATAAAAAAAAAAAGCAGATGACAATAAAACTGATCGCCCAAATGCATCACAGCAACGGCCATGGTAACCCAATGCACGTGAGTTCGGTGCAAATTGAAATGCACATGGGTTCCCCCATTTCTTGCCCTATAAAAATCCAACCAGATCGGATAACATTCATTTGTTATGGAAATGCTACCACATGCCAAGATTGACAAGAAATCAGTGACACAAAGCCCTTGGACGATTGGAAGCTGGACAAACCGCCCAGCAAGTAGCCAATGCCTTTCAAGTCCACGTAAGGACCATATACAGGCTCCAGCAATGGTACCAGACCACCAACACTACAGATGACCGACCACGTAGTGGAAGACCAAGGGTCACCACCTGACGTCAGGATCGTAAGATTGTGCGACAGCATCTTCAAGATCGCTTTGTTACTGCTGAGGAAACTGCTCAACAGACCATGAGGAGACACCAGCGACACATTAGTGCGGACACTGTGCGTTGACAATGGACGAGCAGACACCTCCACTGTCACAGACCACACCGAGGACCCATTCTGACACCACGCCGGGACCGTCTTCAGTGGGCAATACCACCAGCATTGGCGCCACCAGCAGTGGAGAAGAATCCTCTTCTAGGACGAGAGCTGTTACTGTATCTCAACAGCAGATGGCAGAGAGAGAGTCAAGAGACTTCCAACAGCAGAAGACCATCAGAACCATGCAGTGGCCTGCCCTCAGTCCCGATTTAAATCCCATTGAGCACGGCTGAATGACATCCGACCAAGGCCGACAACTGCAGCTGAACAGAAGACTTCCGGTTATGGCGACGAACAGGCGAGACGTGAAACACATCACTCTCCAAAATCCATTCACATCTACAAGATATGGCCAACGATGCTATCTGATTTAAGGAGTGGGCGAAAGCTGTCAACCTCAAAATAAAAAAAAAGTAAATCAAATGAAACACTGGACAAATATATCATGGACAAAAATGAAAAACAAATGACTTCCAAATCAACTGAAAAAAATAACCAGGTGTCCATGCCGGATGACAAGACCAACACACAACAGACCGCTCAAAGTGACTTGATCCAACAGGCTGTTACGAAGATCAAAAGTCATATGACAAAAACAATCGAAGCCAATACAAGTCTTCTGACTGACATGATCAAAATGGAAAACAAGAAACTACAAACAAGAATGGACGGTCTCTTTGAAAGTTTGAACTTTAACGCTAACAGCATTGAAGAAAACAAGAAAAAATTCAAGAAGTGGTAACCGAATATGACCAGAAATTAAACGCATTTGAAGAAAAAATTCATCTCCTAGAAATTCAACAACGCAAGCCAAACCTCTTATTTTATGGGATACCGGATCATAAGGAACCCGAGACAGCAGTTAGGGAAGTACTATCTTTGATTAGTGACGACAACGATTCGGAAGACGAAGCTGTGAGTTACATAGCATTTTCGGCGGTGCATCGCCTCCCACGGAAGACGACAACTTTTCTCTATTCTGAAAAACAACCTAAACCAATTATTGCAAAGTTCGCTTCCCTAAAGGACAGGCACAAAACACTGGAACTCAGCTATAAGAAGTGGAAATCGCTGAAAGAGAATAAAGTCAGTATCCGGACAGATCTACCGGTTACGATGAAAAAGCACAGAGGTCTGCTTGCAGAAAAAGCCTTCAAGTTAAGAAAAGACTGTAAGGTGCATACTAGAATCGATGTTGAAGGTGCCCAAGTTATTCTCGAGATTCGAGAGGATTCTGATTCCCCCTGGAGACCCCTGGGTCTCAATGAAGAATATTCATAGCAAGTGGTTCGTGATTGACAAGCTATATCCTACTTCCTTATTGGACTTGAATTCTGACGGCATAGAACTATATTAGGCTAACAACGGATTAGCCGCTGATTTGATCTAGGTTTGATCAACTTTTATAATTGAACGTAGAAAATGTTTTAGTTCGATATTCATGGAGTGTGGATATTTTATATGGATACTGCCAATGAGGTAATTATTTTAGTTATATCCAAATAGATCTAACAGTATTATCTATAAAAACTTATAACAGTATTGATGTGATGACAATCCGCAAAATATCAAGATAGATTACTGCATAGACCATCTCTTATTTCATTGAAAAAATACATGTGTATTTTGCGTATTTTGCTTTGATTTTGATAACCATGGCGTCTAGATCTAGGTCTAATATGAGAAGATACTCATCAATCTTTAGTTAGATTTATTTTGCTAGTCAAACTTAGTTTGCATTTAACAATTAGCATTAAGATATATGCTAATCTCTCCTTTTCGTATTGATGTATTGTATTTTGATTATCATTATCTAGATCTAATATACGTAGTGATACCTGCTGATTCTAGCACATCAATCTTTAGTTAGATTTTTTAATTTAACGATTAATTATACAATAGGTTAGTTAACGTAGATTTCACCTAATAATTAGCATGATTAGCAGGAAGATATATGCTAATTCATAATACCGGTACCTATATTTTCCAAGGCCTCAGTAAATTTGATTTGGCCTTTCTTTTATGATTTAAATATCTAGATACTCATAGGTGGAATTTTAGGTATCAGATCCAATAGGTGGATAAGACTGATGAAGGAGGTACATGTTTTTGTTTTTTTCTCAATTATGTCCTTTTAAAAATCTAAAAAATTGACAATCATACTTTTAAAATTTGACAATGACTAGTAAAATTAGAATAATATCTGCTAACTGTAGAGGGCTATCAAATAAAAATAAACGCAAAGAAGTAATGAATATTTATCGTAAAAATAAATTTGACATAATCTGCCTTTAAGATATTCATATCTCTGAGGAATATGAAACAA